CTCCAAATCCATATAAAAATTCCATGTCCTAGAAATCCTTTGCCCCGATGTCACAATATCAGAGCATACCCACAATTCAACTATTGGCATTCTAGATGCCACTCATAGCCGGATCTTTCTCACCTAAAACATCTACAAATTATACGGTGAGAAAAGAAAACATCTATATGTAAAGCCCACAAGGAAAATCCACAACATCGTCTCATCATAACTCATTACTTAATGAAATATTTACAAGCATTTTTATATATCCTAATTCTATCAATCATGCATCATCTTCACATCACGATTCATAATCACACCAATCCATCACAAATCTTGCAATTAACCTTATGCCAAGGTCACACTTGTAGCATCTCTTGCCCAAGGTCGTGCCACCCCCAACATAAGCATGAGGAATCACCCATCTCATACTATGCCAAGGTCACGCCTATAACATCTCTTGCCCAAGGTCGTGCTACCCCTAACATAAGTATTAATTACCTCACACGTCCCACACTATGCCAAGGTCATGCCTGTAACATCTCTTGCCCAAAGTCGTGCCACCCCCGACATAAGCATGAGAAATCACACATCCTACATTATGTCGAGGTCACGCCTGTAGCATCTCTTGCCCAAGGTCGTGCCACCCCCAACATAAGTGTGAGGAATCACAATCACATCACATTCACATTCCACACAACATACACAAAATAGATAAGTCCACACAAAATAGTGGTTCACATACCCCTCAAGCAATTCACCATGAATCCACATCTAGATCATCAACTTTTACCATATAATATAACAATAACATTTATAAATTAATATAATACTCAATTAAATCACCAATTTAATAGAATCTTAACTCAACTAGTAAAACCCCCAATTTTTCCAAAACCTAACTCACAGACACTTTTCTATAATTTCTTTCTCTCTTCCAAATCATCATTTTTACAAATTAATCATATATTCATATTATTAAACACCCACAGAATCTCATAATATCAACAAAACTCCAAAAAGAAACAATTATAAAATTATCCATAATCTTACGGAATTCCTTCTCTACCCAATTTCCTCATGTAACTTTGCATACAAATAATTCTCTTTTCCCTCGTACCTCGATAAGTAGTAGCTGAAACTAAAGCAGGATCTGGTTGATCTCCTCCTATAGGTTCCCATCGGTCTTCAGAGAGTGTAGAAGGAAAAAAATTCAAGAGTGAAAAGTGTGCATTTGGGAGTGCCAGAGCGTGCTATTTATAAGCATCAGCAGTGGCCGGAACGACCCATTTCAAATTCGAAATGGCCCGTTCTGGACTCATTCATCATTTGTAAAATTTCACATCCAGAATGGCCCGTTCTAAAACCAGAACGGCCTGTTCTATTGTTACATTTTAACCCATAACGACCATATTTGGAACGACCCGTTCTTAAACCAGAACGACCCGTTCTTAAACCAGAACGACCCGTTCTTAAACCAGAACGGCCCGTTCTTAAACTAGAACGGCCCGTTCCCAACTAGGGTTACAAGTCTTTTTGGTAATTTGGAATGCCCCGTTCCAATTTGGGAACACACCGTTCTAGGCTACTAAATCACCCTTATTGGGCTTTGGGCCTTCATATAATTTCTGAAAATTGGGGAGCTTCATTCTATCTTGTAAAAGGCTTACAATTCTATACAAGTTGTATAATGTCTAAGTGAGATGAACACAATATTTATGTAACCTTCATAACCAGTGTTATAAGGTTGAGCTTAGATAGACTTGTCTGTAAAAGAATATTTATTTTGTGCCTAAAGAGGCTTATTTGTAAAAGAATACTTGTTTTGAACCTGATGAGGCTTGTCTATAAAAGAATACTTGTTTTGAGCTTGGAGAGGCTTGGCGGTAAAAGAATACTTGGTTGTTAAGCCTAGAGAGACGTGTTGTTAAAAGAATACTTGAGTTATTTCTTGAAGAGGCAAGTTAAAAAATACTTAGGACTGAGCCAAAAGTGGCTTGTTGAAAGAATACTTGTATCTTTACTTAAAGATAGTGGAACTCAATTTGGTTAGATTATGAACTAAACATAGTCTTGTATTGTTTTTAATTGAAGGTGTAATTAGTAGTTTAAGAGAGGTGTAACTAGTTAAAGTCATGTTGGGCTTATTGGGCTTGGATGGGCCAATTTTTCATTGAACCATGGGCTTGGACATCCACTTGCTTGTGCAAGTGGTTTGGACGTCCAAACCATGTCTACTTGGCCATCCAAGTGGCTAACTTGTCACATGCCCTTTGATAGTGACATCTCAACAAATTGTTAAGTAATCATTACTTTGGTAGTTGTAATGATTAGGTTAGGTAGTTGAAGTTAACTTAAGCTAACCTAGATTATTCTTAAACTAGGATTAGCTTAGCTTGCTCCATAAGCTTCTAGACAATTAACTAGGTTGGTTAGCTTAAGTACAAGATAGCTAACCTTGGTTACATTTAACTGTAGTTAGTCTAGCTTGCACCTTAAGCCAACCAAACTCTATATATGGTTTCTCCTTATATATGGTTGGTCACTTTTGGATGTATATGAGAATAAACCTTTGAATTTCTCTTCTAAAAGTCTTAGTTGTCTTCCTTGGAGAAATCTCTCTTTAAGATCCTTTATCAATGAATTCCCCCATGTGGAAATATCAACACTTCTTGCTTATCTTTCTTCCTAGAAAGTGGTGCATCATTTTCTAACCTTTTCCACATTTTTTTTGTTTGTTCTAAAGCTTGTTCATCTGTGGAAGAAGATTGGGCATCACAAGGAGACTAGTGGAGGGAATCACCAATCACATTTCTCCCTAGATTTTTCAATCAATGTTCATATCACATGTAGGCACAAAGTCTCAAGATTAAACACTTTAGGAATAAAACAACTCACAAACTCTATTTTTTTCTTATCTTAAGCTTTTATGACATTGTATGGTCTAAATGAGTTTATATATAGATGTAACTATGCTATCAAATTGATCTTATTTTTATTAGAAAGATAAGATAATTATCTATAACTTTTATGTGGATCTTAAGAGTTGATTTTACTATCTATTATTTTTAAAAATTACAAAACCGCATTATTTTAGTTTGATTATGATAATTTTACATTTGCTTATTAATTTAATCATAACTTGATTTCTATACTTCCTTTTTGGGTGATTCTACCTTCATTGGAAAGCTAACATCGAAGGCTACAACTCTTATGAAGACACAAAAAGCTAATTTAGATTTTAAAAAGATGCACGACATGCACAAAATATGCACGAGTGTATTTCACTAAAATTAAGCATGCATGAGTGTGCTATATTAAGCACGGTCGTGGTTTCCACAATTTTGGCCATTCACGAGCGTACTTCCTTAAGCACGACCATGGTACCTTCTGCACATGTTTGCATGGGCATGATTCCTTTAAGCATCGGGCTCAACTGATTCGCACACGGTTCTCACCCTTTTTTTTCTCTATTTTGCATCAAATCATAAAATTATACAATATTTGTATAATCATCCCAAAATTAAACATCATACTCGAATATATCGATACATTATCAATTCATCAAAGTTCATCCAGTTAAACCCTAAACCCCTAAATTCATACATGTAATACACAAACCTTTGAAATCCATTAGCTCATCACAAAAAATATTTAATCAAAGTAAATTCATGGTTCGTAAAATAGAGTAGGAACAAATTATCGATTAAAATCATAAGCATCAATACAAATCGAGCAAACAACGAAAGAGACTTAAGAATCATCTCTCTATCCTTATTCCTCATATATCCCATGGATGTGATAATCTCACTCCCCTACTTGAAGTGATGATCATGCAACAACATGCTTCTTGTAGCTTTGGTCGCTAACTCGTGCCTTCCCTGATGATCTCCTCCAAGTTCTCTATTGTGAGTACTCTAGTTTTTTTTAGAAGGTACATAATGACCTAACTCACTCTTTATTTTCTTCTTTTAAATCAGTCTCCTAGTTGGACCTAGAGTTCAACTTAAATTCTTATAATTTACCTCTCTCCATTATATATTATTAATAAAAAAATATTTTTCTTCTATTATTTTTTTTAAAAAATGGAATTTTGTCGTATCATTGGAAGAAAAAAATGATAAAATTTAGATAAAATTTAATAACTATGAATAATTAAAAATAAACATTTTTAATTCTTCTAATGATTGAAGAGTTATAATTTTTGAATATATAATTAACAATAAATAAATTTATTAAACATATAAATTATATTTTATATTTATAATGAACAAGTTATATTGTAATACATAACTATTTTAATTATTTATAATTTTAACAAACAATATTGCAATTCAATACAAAACTAAAAACAAAATATGGATAAAAAACAAAAAATAAATAAAAAAACAAGTTTAAAAAAATCTAAAAACGTTTTAGATGAAAAAAGTAAACTAAAAAGCTCTCCTTAAAATACATTTTCCTTAAAAAGGAAAAAAGGAAAAAGAAAAAACCCCTTCTATATAATTATTATTTTAATTTATTCATACTAATGTATAAAGGGAGTACATGTGTAATTACTTTTGGTCTACACTTTTTAATGGATCATTATATTCCTTAAACATTAAAAAAAATCTTATATATCACTTATAAATAATTGCATAATCTTTTAATATTCTGTTTATATATAACTATTAGCTGTACGAAGTGCTTCGACCCTCTAATACACCATAAAATAGGTTGTCTTTAGACTTTAAAAAAAAAAAAAAGCTTAACAAGAATATATAAATAACAAGTGATGTAACATAGATACGAGGTTAGTTGTGAGATTTGAGTAAAATCTTTAAAATTGTTTAGTTATAAAGTTTCTATTTAGTGTGTTTGGTTTTGATTTAATTTCACAAGCAAATTTATGTGAAAATTTTAATTTATTACTTTCTGTAAATGTGAATTTTCACGTCTCAAAAGTCGAAACAAACACGGCTTAGTATACATAGTTGGTTACTTAACAGACTTGGACGGTTGGAGAATATCTAAAACGGAAACGCAAATAACAATCTTGCACCAATTGGACAACTTTGGAAACAACGTACGACAGTGGATGTTCATGTTCCTACTTTCTAACTACCCGAGCCAAATCTCCAATGTTTCCAAATCTCACTTTCTCTCATTCTTCACATTCACATCCAAATCTTTTTCATTATGATGATTAGTTATAGGACCCCTCGTTCTCACCCTCCTTCGTTATCCACCACAGTTGTTATTGCCAATGGAAACTGCACTATCCCCTCACAAATCCCAAATCCCTCTTCTGGGTTCTTCCTTTTTGGGGTCTTCTTTTGCCTCAAAGTTGAGAATTTGGAGCAAACCCTTTTCCCGGATTTGTTGTTCCTCCATGGAACAAAGGCTGAAACCCAAACCAAAGAAGGTTGAGTACATGGAAAGACAAGTGCCACTTTTGGATGATACCACGAAAACGTCCTCTTCTGGGCTCTGTAGTCAGATAGAGAAGTTGGTTTTGTGTAATAGGTACCGGGAGGCAATGGAGTTTTTTGAAATTTTGGAACTTGAACATGATGGTCATGATGTGGGTTGTAGCACTTATGATGCTTTGGCGAGTGCTTGTGTGGGGTTGAGATCCATTAGAGGTGTTAAGAGGGTGTTCAATTATATGATTAGTAGTGGGTTTGAGCCTGATTTGTATGTGATGAACAGGGTTTTGTTTATGCATGTGAAATGTGGTCTCATGCTTGATGCACGCAAGCTGTTTGATGAAATGCCAGAGAAAGACGTGGCGTCGTGGATGACCATGATTGGCGGACTGGTGGACTCTGGGAATTTATCTGAAGCTTTTAGGTTGTTTTTGTGTATGTGGGAGGAGTTTAATGATGGGAGATCTCGCACATTCGCCACCATGATTCGGGCATCAGCTGGATTGGGTCGTGTTCAGGTGGGAAAGCAAATTCATTCATGTGCTTTGAAAAGAGGGGTCGGCGTTGATAATTTTGTGTCTTGTGCACTGATTGACATGTATAGCAAGTGTGGTAGCATTGAAGATGCTCATTGTGTGTTTGATCAAATGCCAGAGAAGACAACTGTAGGATGGAATTCCATTATTGCTAGCTATGCACTCCATGGTTATAGTGAGGAAGCTCTTAGTTTATACTATGAAATGCGTGATAGTGGTGCTACAGTAGATCATTTTACTATTTCAATAGTGATAAGAATTTGTGCAAGATTGGCGTCATTGGAACATGCAAAACAAGCTCATGCTGCTTTAGTTCGTCATGGTTTTGGCACAGATATAGTGGCGAACACAGCACTTGTTGACTTCTATAGCAAATGGGGCAGGATGGAAGATGCCCGGCATGTTTTCAACAGGATGCGCCGCAAGAATGTTATATCTTGGAATGCATTGATTGCTGGATATGGTAACCATGGTCAGGGAGAAGTGGCCGTGGAAATGTTTGAGCAGATGCTTCGAGAAAGGGTGATTCCAAACCATGTCACTTTCCTTGCTGTCTTATCTGCTTGTAGCTATTCAGGATTATCAGAACGAGGTTGGCAGATTTTTTACTCTATGAGAAGAGATCACAAGGTTAAGCCTAGAGCAATGCATTATGCATGTATGATTGAATTATTAGGCCGGGAGGGCTTATTAGATGAGGCTTATGCACTAATAAAAAATGCCCCTTTCAAACCAACACCAAACATGTGGGCATCATTGCTGACGGCGTGCAGAATGCGTGAGAATCTAGAGCTAGGGAAGTTAGCAGCTGAAAAACTTTACAGTATGGAGCCTGAAAAGCTGTGTAATTATATAGTGCTTCTGAATCTATACAGCAGTTCCGGAAAATTGAAGGAAGCTGCTGGTGTTTTACAGACCTTAAAGAGGAAAGGTTTAAGAATGCTTCCAGCATGTACCTGGATTGAAGTCAAGAAACAGCAATATGCTTTCCTTTGTGGAGATAAATCTCATTCCCAAACAAGGGAAATATATCAAAAACTGGATAACATGATGGTTGAGATATCTAGGCATGGTTATGTTGAGGAGAATAGAACTTTGCTTCCTGATGTGGATGAAGACGAGCAGCACATTCTAAAATACCATAGTGAAAAGTTGGCTATAGCTTTTGGGCTTATCAACACTCCACATTGGACACCTTTGCAAATTACTCAAGGCCATCGTGTGTGTGGTGATTGCCACAGTGCTATTAAACTTATTGCCATGGTCACAGGACGAGAAATTGTGGTACGAGATGCTAGTAGATTTCACCACTTTAGAAAAGGGACTTGTTCTTGTGGCGATTATTGGTGATGACAAATTATGTCTTTCAAGTCAAAATTTGTCATCACCTATAAACCGAGTAGCTTATTGTTAGCTTAGCTTACCTCCTCTCCTTGCCCCCCCTAACCTTAGCCACACTTTTGATTAGGATACAATTCTACGATACATGTAATTTATTTTGTGATTCGTTTATAAAATTCCTATATTCTTCAAGCACTTTGCATTCTATTATGATGTTTATTTTGTAGTGATTATTGGTTTGGTTTGATGAGAACTAAATGTGGAAGATAAAGAATGCAAAAGAGATTTTTCAAGATCTTTTGGTTAAAGACTATCATTTCTGACCCTTTGCTACGAGCAATGCTCGTTTAATTTACAGACAATTATAGATAAAGATTCAGGAAAGTTAACTGTTTCTGACGTGCCCCGGAAGTACATAATCGTTCTAAACTTCCACATCGTGGCTTATTCCCGGGCACGTCTTTGGATAATTCATGAAACTGCTCATTAACTTCCCTAAACCGTTCTGCAGCCTTTGACCCTTATCCCATGCTACTTCGACCACTCTTAGATCGTGTCTCATTTAAGTTCTTCATTTTGAGAGGTTACGAAGTGTATTCGTGTATGTCCTGATTCTTGGGATTTCGAGCAACCAACGAAAACTATACTTGAATGTTCCATGATTTTGCCTGTACTTTTGAGAGGTTGCGGGGGCTGTGAGCCTTTATCCCGAGCAGCGTCCTTCCTGGTTCCATGATTTCGAGAGCTTTACGAAAAGTGTCTTCGTGTGTCTCTTGATTCTCTTGAGGCTTTGTATATCTTCTTCAGAAAACTCCTTTGCCATTTTTTCGATCACTTAAGATTTCGAGCACCCCTGTATTTCGAGTATCTCCGAATTCATTTTCCGGTACTAACAAATGCCCCCTGGAAAACATTTGCTTCGAAGTAACTGAGAACGAATGTTTTTCATGATAAGGCCTTATAGCCACGTGCATCTCTTGAGAATTAAATGCCCCTGGCAATATTAATTTCAAATCTCTCCTTTTCGTACCTACTGCAGTGATTTTGGCGGCACTGATTTCGCTTCTCTGGGATACGCTGATGCAATTTTCAAATTTATCCGTTAGCGAATATTTTCGGTTACCCAAAAATTTGAATTCCCCCTTTTTTGAATTTCACCGCGGGCTTTTACTGCACTTTCGGCCCATTCTGCTCTTTCATATAGCCTTTTACTTCGTTCATTTAAGTACGTTTTATTGTTTTCTAACCCTTACTCATTCATCTCCCTTCGACCTCTTCACCTTCGTCCTGTTCCATGGCCACTTCTGCTGCGTCCGCGTCCACGGCTACACCCGCTACTTCGACGGTTTCCCCTACTTCCTTCGTTCCTTTGCTGACGGAGAATGCAACTATTTCCCATCTGAGTGAAGGGGCTGACCCATTCGTTCCTATTCCTGGCATGGAGGAAGCCAGTCTCAAAATCTTCCAATCAGATGTACTTCTCCCTTTTTCGCTTTCTAACGGATCAATGCATGCTTTTCTAGGCCCCTTTTCGAATCCGAGCAGGAAGAAACCTCATAATGATTTGCTTCCGGAAGATGATTCTACTCTCCCTTTCGTCTATTCTCCAACCATCAATCTGTCCCTTTTTTCGGACGTTGCGCGAATGTTTCGGGTTTTTCCTCCTCCTAAGGACAAACACATTCAGTGGTTGGAACGTGTTGAGGCCTCGAAGCAATCTATTTGGAAAGAAGCTGGAATTTTTGATTTCGTTCAACTATCGAAGTACGATCTGAACGTTTTCGATCCTCAGATGTTGTTATTTGTCGTTTTCTTCTAGAACAGGGAAACCCGTGCTTTCGAATTTCCTTGTGGTTTTGTCTGCCCAACTCTCTTGGACATTGCTGCCATCACGGGATTAAAACCCTTAGGGGATCGCTATCTTCCTGATATTCTCGAAGAAGAGATTCCGATGACAGAAACTTCAATTGTTTGGGACAAAAAGACGTATTCTGCCTTCGTCAGTGCACATCACGGCGAAGAAGGTACCCTTGTTACTGATTCTGAACACATTGCCTTCTTGCTCTACTGGCTGTTTGCTTGTGTCTTTTGTACCCCTTCTCTGCAAGTTCCCAAATATTACTACACACTCGCCCAGGCTTTGCATTTGAAGAAAAAGATTTGCTTGAGCAAGTTGTTACTTGCTTATTTTTATAACTGTCTCGACGAAGCGTCGAAAAGCTTGTTTCGAGAAACTGGCCCTCAAAACCTCACAGGGCCACTTTGGCTTTTGCAATTATGGCTTAATGCCATTTTCGAGAAGAAACTGAAACTTCTCCCTCTTCAAGCGCCGTATTGAGTTCAGTGCGGCCGTAGTGAACTTCAATCCGGCCGTATTGAGTTCAGTGCGGCCGTATTGTAGTTCAAAATGTTCAATACGGCCGTACTGAACTTTTGGGAGGCCGTATTGGGCTTCATTCCCTCCACTTCCTTATTTTGAGCTTATTACAAGACCTCTAGACCTACAGAGAATCCTCCTAGGGCCTTCCATGAGTCCTTCTGGCTGACTTTCCTTTAGTCTTCGAGAGTCTTCAAGCTTTATTTCCGACCCGGACAATTTTAGGGGTCTACAGGGCAAACCTAGGGAAGATGCCAGTGAGCTACAACATACCTGACCTTGAAGATCAAGATGTAGATCGAAGGAGAACAACCTATGACGTGCTCAAGCAGGAAGCGCCAACCTTCTCCGTCTCCAAAGTGGTTGAACCCTTGGCTATTGCTGCACCACCAGCTAAGAGGAGAATGGTCCTCTAATCCAGATCAGATGAAGATTTTACGTCTGATGTAGAGGACAACCAACCCATCGGGAAGGCATTAAAAAGGAAAGCTCCTCTACCTCCTCTAGAGCCACCTACCCTAAGAAGAAGAGGGTCATTAGGTTAGCATCAAAAGTGGTTGCTGAACCGGAGCGGTCAGCATGCGCTCCTCCTTCTGAAATTGAGGTTGAAATCATCGTCCCTTCAGCTTCAGCTGAAGTTCTTGTGGACGCTCCTTCCCCCTCTATCACTGTACATTCTTCATCTATAAGCGATACTTTTATGATTCCTTTCTCTATATCTTTCTTGAACTTTATCTGAATCTCAATTTCCTTACAGGTCACCCCTGTAAATACTCTCGCCCTAAGGAAGAGAAAGACAACAATCAAAGCTGATCGTATGATCATGCCTCCAAGGCCTCTTCCTTCATTTTTAACTAACCAAACCAAGAATCTGCTAATTCCAGAAGGGATGCATCCAGTGACGGACATATACTCCCTTATTTTTCCTGGTGCAGTAAACCCAGACGAAAAAGTGGAAGTGCTTCAAGACGTCCACCTCACTACAAACAAGGACGTAATGAAGAGGAATAAGATCGGTCTGCGTCCAAAGCCACATCCATACATCACGAACAGAACAATAAGTGTGCGCTGTGGACTATACCCCATCACCTGGGCTAGGCGTTACGTATTGTAGAAGCCCACTAAACATGCGTTGGGGTATTACAGACCTGTGTACTCATGGCTTGAAGACGAATCCACCATAGTCGATGCTTCAGGAAATCCTCTGCGCGATTCGCAAGGAAACTCCTACAAGTATGAAGCCATCCTCTCCAGCAAGCCAACCTATGGACCAGAGTACTACTACTCGGAGCAACCTCCTCCTCCAGCTCCCTTCTCCAAGCTTGTTTGTCCACCTCCCTTCGGACTCAGGTAGAAGTCTTCCCCCTCATTTCCATAAAAGCTTGAAGATTAGTCCAGACATCTTCCATCTATGTACTAACTTATAAAGCATTTTCCAGCCCTTGCTATCACTGACCCTCATGGTTAAACAGCTGAAGCCATATCTCTATCGGAAGTTTGGCTTCTTCTTTTCTTTCTCCTTTTCTTTCTCTGGTTTTGGACATTCTATTTTTAATGTCCTGGTTTCTTACATTCAAAGCATACTGGTTGTGCTTTATCTCTTGGAGTTCTGTTGAATTTTCTCCATCGTGACCCTCCTTTTTTCTTCATCATAGAGTTGATCCTTCTTGATAAGAAAGATATCTCGTCGTCTGAATCACATGTTTCTTCGCCACAACTCTCATCAGACACTTTTTTTGCCTTTAAGGCTTTTGAAGATGATGGTGTAAATTTTTTCTTTAGCACATTCAGTGCAATGGACTTCTGTTTTCTTCCAGTGTCATCTTGTTGTAACTCCAGCTCATGAACTTTGAGTAGCCCTATGAGTTCTTCCAGCGAGAGTTTTTTGAGGTTCTTGGATGCTCTTAAGGCTGTAACCTATGGTCTCCACTTCCTGGGTAAACTACGAAGCAACTTGTCAATGTGATCAAAATTATCATAATTTCTACCTAGAAAAAAGAGTTCATTTACAGTTTGGAATCTTCTAAACATAGTTTGGATAGACTCATTCTCTTCCATTTCGAAGAGTTCATACTTACGAGCCAATAAACTTAGCGTTTTGCATTTTACCTCTAAGGATCCCTCGTAGGTTAGAGCTAGGGTATCCCACATTTTCTTGGCACTCTTGAAGCTGTGTACTTTGGTGTACTCTTCCTCAGACAGAGCACATATAAGTTCATTTCGGGCATTAGAATTCAGCACAAATCTTTGTTTTTGTTTTTCATTCCAATGTGCTTTAGGTATCTCATTACCAGCCTCGTCACGTGGAATGTAGTTTCCTTGTTCTACGACATCCCACATGTCTATATGACATGGGTAAAAGAATGCGACCAATCTTTATTTCAAGTAGTCGTATTTTGTTCCTCTAACGAAAGGTGGGCGGTTCACAGCCTGTCCTTCATTTTCCATTGATCGTTGTGTACCCCTGTAGTGTTAGATGCTCAACCCAAGGGGTCAAGATCTGATACCAATTGAAGTTAGCGGACAAACACACAAAAGGGGGGGTTGAATGTGTGTGTGAATGAAGGAATTTTAAAAACGTTTTCACAAAGAGTCTTTTTTATCTAATAAAAATATTACTTTGAACACTTAAAAACTATGCAAGGTTGGCTCAACAAAGATTTTGCGTTTGAGAGTTTATCATCTGCACAAGGAAAATGTCTCTTAAAATAATAAGTTAAGCAATTGTATTTTCCGTCTAAAGATAGTTGCAATAAGAAATAAGTAGTGGACGAAATTTTTAGTATGATATATCAACTAAACAAAATTGCATCAGAGAAATAGATAAAAATGCAAAGAGTTTTATAATGGTTTGCTCGACCTAAGCTACGTCCAGTCTCTTTCAACCTAAAGGTTCCACTAATCACAACGGATTACAAGTATTATCAACCACTTCTGCTTCGCCAACTTGTGGCGACAAGTGTCTGCACATATAATTTTATGATCAATGGGCTCTGTAAAGAGGGCTGTAAAGAGGGCTTGCTTGATGAAGCAATGACATAGCAGTAAAAAATGTAACACAATGGTTGCATCGCAAATGCTATAACTTTCGAAATAATGATTTGTGCTTTCTTTGAAGAGGATGAGAATGATAAAGCAGAGAAACTTCTTTGAAAGTTGATTGCTGGAGGCCTATTGTAAGAGTAAATCAGGTGAGATGCTTTCTAGTTTCACTTTAAGTTATTTTAATCTTTGATGACACTAGTCAATATTATTTTCCTTTTAAAAGTTGAATATAAAAAAGAAAATGGGCTATATTATGGGCTCATTGACACTTTAATTTTTATTAATAGTTGTATGTTGTTAGTTTCAATTTATATTGTAAAGATAATAATGGTAGATTGTTTTCAGATTTGACATAAGTTAACTATGCTTTTCCCTAATGTACTGTTGATCTACTTCATCTACTTTTATGATTTTTTAAGTCGCTGCATGTTTGTGTTATACATCGCAGACCATGCTGAAACTGGCATAATTATTTAGAACTTGTATTATCCGTACCGCTATGCCGAGCTCGAGCTTGACATCACAGCGCGGAGTGACCTCGGACACGCGCTAGGCGATATCGACCTATTATCCAATTAGGTCACAGCTGATCTCGGGCCCAAGGCCCAGATAAACCCTAATTCACACTAAGGTACGTGCATTATTTATATGAGACCTGTACTTCCACAAACACTAACTTTAGCATCGAAGTCTGTTTTGCAGGTACCACCCCCTCTTGGAACAGCAATCGTACCCAGCGAAGGAGACTCACCAATCTTGCCCAGTAGATCGTCTCTACGACCGATCTCCGGTAAGAACAGAACTCTTTATCTTTATATTTGATTCCATTTACCTCAAGGTAATGAGTGTTGAACATGAGTGTAGAACTGTTTTATTTTCACCCCTGCATATTTCGTGGCCTTTACACAAATTGACGAGTTGAAAATACCAGCATTTCTTTTTTCCTTGATCTGAGTTGTCTGCCAATGTTTCCCTTTAGATTATTGAGGCTTAATTAATTGTGTTTTTCTTTTAAAAAATACAACAAAAATTGAGGCACATTATCTGATTTAAGTTTTACCTCGACAATGTAATTTCAAGCATATGCTTATCCCCTCTTATGCCTTTGTCTATTAAAATTTTGTAATATACAAATATCTATTTATCTACTTTACCAATATCTGTTTAGTGTTTACTCAAGCCTCCTATCTTTGCAAAATCTCCAATGTTTACTGTTGCCGAGTGATTTGGCTAATGTGAAAATCCTACTCTTTCTGGTTGTATGCATAAATCCGCTCAGAAAGTCAAACATAGCAGTCTTAAACTACTGGATTTTTTTGTGTGGTGTAAGTAAAGAAAATATTAATTTGTTATTCTATAGATGAGGAGAAAGACAAAAGACCCACCGAACCTTCACTGGCAGATGTAATCACGATCGCACGCGGACAACCCTCAGATATGAACACTGAGGATTCCCCATCTTTACTCTCGACTCGGTCAACCTGTTGGACTACCTCAACACTTGTAGGAGCATTGGATGCCGACAATGAGTCACTAGATAATGTCGATCGAGACGGTGAGTCCGATTGGGTCTCGAAAAAAGATGATTCACTCGTTCCCCCAGACAAAGTAACCTCCACAACCACTCCTTGCACAACCCTCTCGGCACTCGCCATTGAGAAAACAAGACACGCACCTCAATAATGCTGGAAACTTGATCTCGATCTTGGTATCGGTCTTGCTCTGAATATGCTAAGTACGTGTAAAGTGGTCCCCCACTTACCTATTTGTACTACCCCAAGGATGGGAATTTCAAATGCCACACCCCTTTTTACACCATTGGATCTATTGAATCCAACGGTTTAAAAAATGCAACCCTTCGCCTTCCCCAATCTTAATGTCCCGCATTAAAGTGCCGCAACCATTATGATCGTTCCTCAAAAGGGCTCCATAACTCGATACCCTTTACGTTGTTTCGCTCCTCAAGGCTAGGAGACTTGTGTACCAAAATGATACGTGGCAGGCCACATGTCATTTACCTAATTACTTCATCGTGTACCTTTTCGACCAGTGTCTCGGCCACATTAATAGTCAAGACAGTCGAACACACATACATCCCAATTCCACCTGAATGATCACTTCAACCATTTAGCCATATTGCCTCAATCATACTGATGGCCGAGGCAGTCAAACGCTCGGCCATGTCGGTAGCCATATTGCCTCAACCATTTAGCCATATTGCCTCAATCATACTGATGACTAAGGTATTACAATGCACGAGCAAATAACCTACATCCTCTCGACTTATTCGAGGGCCTACAGAGTCGAGACAACGACATGGTTAGTTTATGAATTTATGTTAATTACAATTAGTAAAGACAACAGGAAGGTTAAAGGATAATCCGTCATTAGTCATCACATTACCTAATTTGGCAATCATGGAATGAGGCCTACCACACTTGGACCCAATACGGTTAGTATAAATAGTCACAAAAAATGAGGTATGAATATTATTCATTTATTACTACCATTGATATTTGTGTTTGTCTTTACTTGAGCGTCAGAATGCCTTTTGCAAGTACCTCCCCCTTTGGCATTGCGACTCAGAGCTCTCATTCAGCGCTAAGGATATGAGAAGATTACTGGTGTGCCCTTAGACACGTACATGTACTAGTCACCAACCACTAAAGTGATTCTAATTGTTTTACCTTTATAAGACCTCTTTAGTTTTAGCTTGTTGAATTTTGGCTCTCCTTTAACTGTAAAGGATTTATCTTCTCATAATTGACATATTTTCTCTAATTCTATTTTTCATTTTTTTTTCAATTAAAATATACCTTGATAAAATTAGTTATTCACAAGCAACAACAAAAACACAAGAGTGAAATTGTATCTCACACATGTTGTCGAACTCTTTCTCAAGCCTCTCCATGGCATACTCCGGCATGCAAATTGGAACTACTCTACCTTACTCTCCTTTAGAGTTGGTGTAGGGAACATAATAACTCACATCAAGCATACTCTCCCCCAAACCAGCGTTGGATGCCCCACTATACATAGCCTTGCCCCACCCAAAGTCCACATTTGTTAACCTATCTTTTGTGAGGTCCGACACAAGAAAAGACACTGACCAAAAACTTCCTTCTACCTCCGACTGCACATACTCTTCATTTATGTCGTACTTGGCCTTCTTCACTAGCTCCAAGGAGTACCCTAAGGGATGATCCAAAAGTTTCTCCAAAGTGGTTACTACGACTGTAGACACGAAAGCATTGTCGTAAAACCCTTCAGGCAGTGGAGGGTTGACCCTGAAATGTCCGAAACGTGAATTCACGACAAACAACAAACGAACCTCTTGGTTAGGGTTTGGCCATTCTAGTGATGTTGTGCGAGAACGCCAGAGCCATGCTGTGAGGACCTCAAAGGTGGTGGATTTGGCGGCAAGGTGGTGAGGAAGAAGAGCACGCATTGAAGCGATTTCTTTGGGGTCGAAGAAGAACGAACGTTGTGTTGGGCACAAGGGGGTCACCACACATATACACATGTCTTCACATTGGTGAGATATTGTCCGCTTTGGGCCCAAGTCCTCACGGATTTGCTTTTGGACACCACCCAAAAGGCCTGTCAACCAATGGAGACAAGTGTGTGTATATAAACCCATGTCCATCCTCTTGTTTAAACGATGTGGGACTTTGCTTGCATCCCAACAATCCTCCCCTCAAACAAAGGACCACGATTTTACCCCCTCCCCTGTAGCAAAAACTACGAGTATTATCCAATAGTTGTCCCATAGAGCTCACTCACACTCAGAGTGCTTGCACCGCTGCTCCATCATGACCTCCCTCATGACAGCGGGACACGCCTCCTAACCTTCCATGTTACCAGGAAGCCTCTCTTCCACATGGACCCACTGTTAAGAAGACTTTTGACACAAAGGATCCCAAACTTGAATCCACCTGCCAACCATCATCAACTCTGATACCACTTGTTGAGCAATGAGGGGGTTACCACACATATACACATGTCTCCACATTGATTCCAGAAAGTCCACTTCGGGCTATTTGATTAAGTTTGCAGGGGGAGATGTGGCTTGGCAATCAAGGCTACAAAGGTGTGTAGCATTGTCTACTATAGAGACGGAGTTCATTGTCATTACTGAAGCATGTAAGGAGTTGATATGGTTGAAGAAATTCTTGCAGGAGCTTGGTTTTGTGCAGGAAAAATATCCTTTATTTTTTGATAGTCAGAGTGTTATCCATCTTGGCAAGAATCCAACTTTTCATTCTAGGTCCAAACATATTGATGTAAGGTATCATTGGATACATGATGCTTTCGATGCTAAGCTGTTGGAATTGGCTAAAATTCATACTGATGATAATGGGACTGATATGATGACTAAATAATTACCTAGAGGAAAATTTGAAATTTGTTGTGAGATTGTCGGTTTGGCAGTTATCTCCACATAGTTGTGAGGGGGAGATTTGTTGGGTATTGGGCTCCCTTCCTATGTGGAGAAAAGGCCCAAAATTGAGAAGCCCACTTGATGTCTCACTTAATTAAGTGGAGAGAGGGTCTGAAGCATAAGAGTGAGAAAAAGGGAAAGTCAGAAGTCACTTAGTGATGGAAGAGCATGGACCAAGGGTCTAACCACTAGAGCTATGGCTAGGAGATTACTTGAAGACTTGTCTGCTTCAGAGCTTAGTGGGCCCAATGGGCTTGGTGGGCCTAGGGTGCTTCTCACTTGGGCTTTAATTGATTAAACACCATGTTTTATTGTACATTCATAGAATAGGAAGTCACTTTATTTTTGGTCTTGTATTTTAACTATAGATTAGGGTTTATGAACTTTGGGCTTGTAATTGGTGTTCATGGGCTTTGGGCTTTTGATACCCAATATTGGGCTCATTCTTTTTCTTGTAATTTTTTCTATTCATTATATTTCTTTGACCATTGTATTTAGATCATTAGATTAGGATTTAAGGAGGATTATTAGTTTAATTGAATTAGGCAAAACTAGGTTTAATTTAGCATGCATTTTGAGTCAGATGTATGGCGCCACATTGGCTGAACATGTGTGACTCAAATTCAACCCTAAATGCACACTAAATCAAACCTAAATACACCTAGCTCTAATGTGAACCGGACTTGTACATGTGAGTTAAGTTTTGAATTCAAATTCAAAATTTGAATTCAAAACTTGGCGCCACATGTGAAGCCTCCACATTGGCGCCAAGTGTCCCTAATTCCGGATCCATATAGTCTCCCTCCTTCACACATTGTAATCACTTTTGAACTTCAGAAATTTGAGAGCATTTCTTTGCCAAGTTTCTTCCAAAAGTCACCGAGAAAGAGAGAGTGAGAGAGTGCCTTCAAAACCCTAGAATTTACCTAGTTCTTACCTTTTGAAGTGAGCAATCTCTTGATTGCTTAAGCTTGGATGCTTCCATCCTTGGCTTAGGCCATTTCATCCGAAGAATTCCTCCATTTCAAGTGTTCTTGTTTTCGGTCTCAATCTCCTTGAAGAGGATCCATGCATAGGTGAAGCTAAGGAGAGGAACATCTATCACTTCTCCTTCCTTTGCCATCAATTTTGGTATCAAGAGCAAGGTTCTTCTTGGAGATAAGTTTCCTTATTTTTTTTTGGTCCGTTTGTCTTGTTGTCTTTGTGTTCTTGTGTGTCTTGTTTGAGTTTTATTTCGGATCTGTCTTTGTGTCCTTAAAATTTCTTTGAGAGAGAGGAAGAGACAAAGTCATTCTCGTTTTTACACAGGGCTGCGACAGTAAAATTGGTACTGCAGATTCGTTCACCGTTGGATCGAGCTGAAACTTGGATAGCAGATTCGTGACATCCGGTTCTTCATTCTAACCGGTTGGATCGTTGAAACGAGGTCTGAGTAGCGAGATATTCAGTTCGCACTGTAGCTGTGTATTTGGGGTTTTTTCATCTTCTTTGTTCTCTATTTGTAAGCTTTATTACTTTTTTGTTTGGCTGGGTGTTAGCACTATTTTGTGCAATTGATTGAGACTCTTTTGTACTCTTTTTTGATCATAATGGAGCTATTTCTTTGGTCTGGACGACTCGTGGTTTTTACCCTTACTTTGAGGGATTTTTCACATTAAAAATCTTGGTGTCTTTGTGTGTGAGGTTTGGTGATTTATTATTGTTGTTCATTGGTTGTTGCTCCTCACAGATTCTTGCAAGTTTGGGGAATTTATTTCCACTGCGATAACTATTTAAGTTTGCTCTGTGTTGTTATTGTGTTGTTGTTTCCCCATCACGTTGCATGGACGTGAATCTTTTGTGCGATGGTGGAAATTGCTCGTATTCGTGACGGGTTCATGTAGCTCTTGGTGGGTCTCTCGCACACAGGATTTCCCTCCACCACACGGGGAAAATTGAAGGTTTTGGTGCACCGCGTGCTGCTTCTGCTAAAGCGTTAAGAAACTGGGAGATTCCACTTTTATCACACATGGTGTGGTTGATCCGTAAAGCGAAGATGAAACCACCACACTTGAGTCGTGTCACCTGCCATTTATATATA